TCGGCTTCACCGCCGGTGGTGCCGGAGTTACGTCTCATATATAGGATTCTTCTTTCAACCTTAAACAACCATTATTCTCACAATGTCTTCAGTAATCTCACAAGTGGCTTAGCAACTAAACCTAGAGAGAAAGACAATAAAAACAACAAAAGTGAAGCAGAAGACTGGTAAAGAAAAGGAGAAGAAAAAAGCCATCGAGGCAACAAAGAAAGGTCACTCCTAAACCCTAAATCCTTTAAATAGGTGTCAATGCATGTATGTATGAGTGCACTTACAACGAATACTCATCATCAGAATATGTCTTACGCTCTTCTTCTTCTCTGTAATTTTGACATTAAACATCTATAGTCACCATTCATCAATATACCAACAGTTACCTAAATAATTGATAATAAATACCATCAATCCACAAAACAGTTTTATGCAAACCCTAGCTTGATCTCTACCTAGCTCTAACCTTTTTCTTTTTCTTTTTTTTTTCATTCTAATCGATAAAGCTTATTGTAATATATATACATATAGGTAGCTTTGGGTGGGATGGTTGAGCTTCAAGAAGAATACTATTATGCTAATCAATTGCCTCCTAGAAAGGTAACGTATATTTATATAAACCACACGATTGTTTAGCTGCGTATAAGTTTGTGCATCTTTTTTTTTTTTTTGATGCACATACACTTAAACACAAGCGTAAACTAAAAAAAGAACTGTGGTCATCATAAGTCGAAATCAGTTCTTATGCATATGATTATTGTAATAAAATATTTTGGAATTTGATGTATAAAATAATGCAGTACAAAGGGAATGGGAAGAAGAGAACCGAACCCGAAAGTAGCTCGAACTCTAGAATCGAATACGGTATTGTTGTTCCACTTCACCACTTGGATAACCCGAGACCGTGGATCTCAAGGATTATCAGTTTTTTTTTTTTTTTCATTTTCATAATTATCGTTAGATTATGTTTATTTTTTATCCTTTAAGATAAGTATTTCTTTTTGCTTACAGAGACTTTTATGGCACAACGAGATACAACCTGGAAACTAAATCTTCTATTGGCATATATGATATTATTTTACAGGAAAGTCTACTATTATATACAATCATCCATGATCAAATCACTTATGAAAAATATAATCAATTAGCTGTGTTCTTAATTTCTTATAGACATGCTGTAGATAGAGGTGCTATTTCAGAAAATGGCTCTCTTATTGCTATGTCATGTGATTACATATTTTCACAAGATTTCATTTCTCTCTCACATTTTGTTCTCTCCTCATCCCTCTCTCTCATGAAGAAGCTTTGTCAGTAACCATCCATTCACCACCACATATTTTTTTTTCTGGAAAAGGAAAAGGAAACAGAAAAATAGAAAAAAGTCAAAGGTCAAACCTTAATAAGGTTACGCCATGCCCCATGTGCAGTCGATTGGCTATCAACATCCGCCGATCATGTCCAAAAATATATTTCGCCCACTTGATCTTTGGGTTTTGGATTTTCGTAATTATTTTAGAATTTGGTCAAGAAGTCCGAAATCTTCAAAACCGGATTTATCAAATTTTCTCGAAAAATTCAGAGATACCGACTTCTTTAAGATATCTACTTGATACCCCTAATTCACTATACATTATGATGATGTCTAGCTATGCAAACATATAATACATGAAATATATAATACACATATGTATACGTTAAGTTAAAATAAATACACATATTGACATACGTGAACTGTATATCGCCCACTTGGCTACAATGTTCGCAAATCTTGTAATAGAACTGCCAGATTGATATTGACCAGCAATTTTGTTCTTCGTTTTTTGGTTTTTTGGTTTTTTTTTTCTTTGAAGTCGTGGTCGTCTCTCCATACTCAGTTCTATTGGTGCATGTATTAGCTCCTCACCAACCATGCAATATTCTTCTGACTTGTCAAACCGTAAGGTTTATTTTTTAATTTTAGGTTTATTGGAATACATTAAGGATAAACTTGATAGCTAAAATAAATAGAAAATTGTGTATGTATAAATTTAATCATTTTATAAATGGTGGCCCTTTTATAAATAGATGTATACACTCTGAAATGCCGTTATAGTTTTTTTTTTTTTTTTTGCTGCAGTTATTACTTATTAGGTTATGAAAAATAGAGAAGAATACGATTTTTTTTTTCAGTATCCTCAAATTTTGAGTTATATTAAGATGAATTGCAGCTTAATGGCAAATTAGTAGTGAATTAAACAAAAAGAAAATAGAATATTCATGTGTTTCAAAACTTTAAAAATTCAAATTGATGGTGTATCATTTAAAGTCGCAAAAATTTCCTCCGTATATGATTATCAACGTAAAGACATTTTTATACGTCAACGAATTAACGGTAATAAAAATCGCAATTGGTCACCTCTACCAAAACGTTGACTTTGAGCTCTCAATAATAATAACCAGTAGGTCCATTACTACATACTATACTAACGCGGTTCAGACAAAAAAAAAAAATTTCCCACTTTTAGTTCTTAAATTAAACCACATAAATGTTCATTTGATTCCTCATTTTCTAATTTGCAAAACAAAAGAACAGAAGATCCAAAGTGACGAATGAACAATGGCGTTTCCTGCTTGTCTTCTCTTATTTTTTCTGCAACTTTTCTCAGCTTTATATCTTAGTCTTGCTCAAGATCAGTCAGGTAAGAACTAAGAAACCAATTTTGTATCATCTTCATCAAAACCGGATTGGTTTCCAATATATTCTTCTTATCTTCTTCCTCAGGATTCATCACTTTGGATTGCGGTTCGCCGAGAGGAACTACCTTTCGTGAGAGAACAACAAATCTTACTTACATCTCCGATGCAAATTTCATCAATACCGGTGTTGGTAGAGGCATCCAACAAGCGTACCGGACCCAATTTCAGCAACAAGCCTGGTATAGATAATATTCTCACCCTCAGTCAAATTAGTAGCTTAAAGCTCAAGTTATTCTTTACCAATTTATTTAACTTCTTTCACAAGGAACCTACGGAGTTTTCCACAAGGCATACGAAACTGCTATACCCTAAACCTAACCACAGGCGATAAATATCTGATCAGAGCAAGTTTCTTACACGGCGGTTATGACGACAAACCCTCCACGGAGTTCGAGCTTCACCTCGGGCCTAACCTATGGACTAAAGTTTCAACCACAAACGAGACACAAGCATCAGTAAATGAGATGATTCATGTCTTGACCACAGATCGTTTACAAATATGTCTGGTCAAAACAGGAAACTCAACGCCTTTTATCTCCGCTTTAGAGCTTCGTAAACTCATGAACACAACTTACTTGACTCAACAAGGGTCATTGCAGCTCTTCATCAGAGCAGACGTTGGCGCAACTGTTAACCAAGGCTACAGGTTTATCTCATGTCAGAAAACAGAGTTTTTGCTATGGATAAAAAGCTCTTAAAATATGCTCTGTTTTTCTTTGTTTTAGGTTCGGAATCGATGTGTTTGATCGTGTCTGGACTCCGTTTAACTTTGGGAACTGGTCGCAGATCAGTACCAACCAGACAATAAATGTCAACAATGACTATCAACCACCAGAGATTGCTATGGTCACAGCCTCTGTTCCAACAGACCCGGACGCACAGATGAACATTACGCTAGTCGAGGTCGAGCGCAATGTGAGATTCTACGTTTTTATGCATTTTGCCGAGATTCAAGAGCTCAAGTCCAATGAAACAAGAGAGTTCAATATCATGTACAATGACAAGCGTATCTACGGACCCTTTAGACCGCGTAGTTTCACCACTGATTCCGTATTTACCCCTACCGAAGTTGTCGCTGATGCAAATGGACAGTACACGTTTTCGCTTCAAAGAACAGGAAATTCGACTTTGCCTCCCCTCCTCAATGGCATAGAGGTTTATTCGGTTAAATTGTTGCCGGAGCAAGAAACCGATATTAAAGAAGGTTGGTAACTAAAACTAACTATAACTATACTTTTGTGATTTGTTGTTGATCAAGAACCAAACTTTTACATAAGAAATTCATTTATCAGTTGATGCAATGATGAACATCAAGTCGGGTTACGGGGTGAACAAGATTGACTGGGAAGGAGATCCTTGCGTGCCACGTGCTTATAGGTGGTCTGGTGTTAATTGCAGTTACATTGACAATGAGAAACCGAATATCATTTCTTTGTAAGTACAGTGTTTGTTCTGTTTTCTTAGAACAGAGTTTGACTTTTTCTTTATATGCTTTTTTACAAATCGTTTTAAAATTTTTGTTCTTTTGAGAACAGAAACTTGTCTGCAAGTGGCTTGACCGGAGAGATATTGGAATTCATATCAGACCTTACCAAATTAGAAGTTCTGTAAGTAGTTAATTATCCTCAAGACTCTTAGAAACTGTGGCCAAGTTGTGATTTAAAGTCAGATGTTTTAATATGTTTCTTTTTTTTTTGGCCTTGATTTTCTTTCAGTGACTTGTCTAACAATACTTTAACTGGTTCGGTTCCTGAATTTCTAGCAGACATGAAAACCTTAAAACTCATGTAAGTTCAAGCGTGAAGAGGCACAGATTTTAAACTTTTATAAGAAAAAAGAAAGAAAACTAATATTATGTAACCTCTGTTCACTATGTTTTGTGCAGAAATCTATCAAGCAATGAGCTAAACGGTTCAATCCCTGAAACTCTCCTTGATAAAGCACGAAGAGGATCGATTTCATTAAGGTAATCCATGCGTATGAGCCTAAAAAAACAAACAATCAAACTCTTAGACTTTTCTCATTAAATTTAACTTTCAATCACGTATATAAAACACTAGTATCGAAGATAATACCGGGCTCTGTTCATCCGGTTTGTGCGCCACAACAAAGAAGAAGAAGAAGAAAAACACGGTTATTGCACCTGTTGCAGCATCACTTGTTTCAGTATTCCTCATTGCATCTGGAATCGTTACTTTCCTTATCCTTAAGAGGAAGAAGAGAGCCAAGCTTGGTCTTAATCCCAATTCAGGTACCGGTACAACACCGTTACATCACCACGGTTATGAATCCCCCGTGATATCAAAGAACCGGAAGTTGACTTACATAGATGTTGTCAAGATCACAAACAACTTTGAGAGAGTTCTTGGTAAGGGAGGTTTTGGTGTGGTTTATTACGGCGTATTAGATAACCAACCAGTAGCTGTTAAGATGCTCACTGAGTCTACTGCTCTTGGTTACAAACAGTTTAAAGCTGAGGTAATAACATATTGATGAATAGCTATTGTTCTCCAACTACATAAAAAAACGGTTTTTAATTGCGTCTTGGATTCTGTTTCTGTATTTTGTTAACTTGTTAGGTTGAGTTGCTTCTTAGAGTTCATCACAAAGATCTCACGTGTCTTGTTGGATATTGCGAAGAAGGCGATAAACTGTCTCTAATCTATGAGTTCATGGCGAATGGAGACTTGAAAGAGCATTTATCAGGTCTGGTTTGTATACAAAGAAAGTGTTAGAAACATTTTGGGGGTCTGGTCTGGTTTTTAAGATTCTGATACTCATGTTTGAAAATAAAATGGGTTTCAGGGAAGCGTGGACCGTCGATACTAACTTGGGAAGGAAGGCTTCGTATAGCAGCGGAATCAGCTCAAGGATTGGAATATCTACACAATGGATGCAAACCGCAAATAGTTCACCGTGACATTAAGACAACTAACATCTTATTAAACGAGAAATTCCAAGCTAAGCTTGCGGATTTCGGGCTTTCACGGTCTTTCCCACTTGGAACTGAAACTCATGTCTCAACCGTAGTGGCAGGAACTCCTGGATACCTAGATCCCGAGTATATCTCAATCACTTCTCTCAAACAACATTACATTCTTGAAATCTTTTCTTGTTAACTCTTTAACATTTTGTGGTTTGTTTTTTTTTTTTTTTTTTTCACAGATACTACAGGACTAATTGGCTGACCGAGAAAAGCGACGTGTTCAGCTTCGGTGTTGTTCTGCTTGAGCTAGTAACGAACCAACCAGTGATAGACCAGAAAAGGGAAAGACCACATATAGGTGAATGGGTTGGTTTGATGCTATCAAGAGGAGACATTAATAGCATTGTGGATCCTAAGCTTCAAGGAGACTTTGATCCGAACACGATATGGAAAGTCGTTGAAACCGCTATGACTTGCCTGAATCCATCTTCTTCAAGGAGACCGACGATGACTCAAGTGGTCATGGATTTGAAAGAATCTCTGAACATGGAGATGGCAAGAAACATGGGAAGTCGTATGACGGATTCAACTAACAATTCTTCAATCGAGCTATCCATGAATTTCACAACAGAGCTTCATCCTGGAGCTAGATGAATCAAGTCTGTATAGAATCTGTTCGAAGCTGCAAGTTTCTTTTGTTATGTTTGTGATTGAACAGAGTCAGTCTTAATTGTGTTGTAAAATTCGGTTTGGAAAGGATAAAATTCCGTTTTGGAAAGAGTAAAATAATTTACTAAACTGATAAAATTAATTTAACAAAATTAAAAATGAATATAAACGTTAGTAACATTATTAAAGATATATTTGCAACGCCAATAACCATTTAGACAAAGGTAAACACACTGCAATGCCACCTATCAGTTTATAAAACAGAGAGAGCGGAGGTTACTTCTGTCCCTTAAGAATAAGGTAAGAGTTATTATGAAACAAATACAAAGAAGAGATCATATTTATAAATAATAGTAATATGTAACCTAGCGTGCCGTGGGGTTCACTTCAGTACCAAATGTCATGGTCACTTCTCGAGATCCATTGGAGTCCATATCTCGACTCGTTCCTCCCCTCGAGTTTTCAAATGTTAAACACTCGATTAGTTCAATAACAACTTGTGACATGGTTGGTCTACTAGTTGAAGAAGCATTGACACAAGTCATTGCTAGCTCAACAAATTTCCAAGCAGAATCAGAGTGGTAATCACCCTTAAGACTTGGATCTGTTATGTTTCTAATATCTCCTTTGGTAACCATTAATCCCACCCATTCTGCTATGTATGGTCTTTCACGACTCTGGTCAATCACTGGCCGATTTGTTATAATCTCCAATAAAACGACCCCAAAGCTATACACATCGCTCTTTTCTGTCAACCAATTTGTTCTGTAATATCTGAAAAGATGTAAGAAATATGTTCAGCGTTGTTAATGATTTGAAGTATGAGGTGAGCATAGATGTGTGCAAAACGATAGCTAAGTACTCTGGATCAAGGTAACCAAGAGTTCCTGCAACAACTGTGGAGACGTGACTTTCTCCATCGTTAGAGAATGATCTCGAAAGCCCAAAATCAGCAAGTTTGGCTTGCAAGTGTTGGTCCAACAATATATTTGCTGGCTTTACATCTCTGTGAACAATTGGTGGTTTGCATCCTTTATGCAAATACTCCAACCCTAGTGTAACATATTCATTTTTTTTTTTAATCCAAGTATATCATATAAAACTAAAGCTCTTGATAGGAGATGATTGGTTCATTATATCATTAGGCTTCACTAACCTTGTGCGGCCTCGAGTGCTATTTTTAGTCTTTTTTCCCACCTTAAAACAGAAGAGTCGTGCTTCCCTGTGTGTTTGAACTAGGACATAAGCTTATGTTCGAGAGGGACATGTTATCATTGGACTGAAAATTGATCCAAGACATATTTTAACTAGGCCATTAGCTTATGTTTGAGAGGGACATGTTTTCATCTGACTGACAATTTGATTAAGATGTGGTGTCTGATATGTTTATTCAAATTTCGTTTACCTGACAAAAGCTCTTTCAAATCGCCATTGGCCATGTATTCATACACGAGAGCCAAGTCCTTCCCTTTTTCGCAGTATCCAACTAGGTTTACCAAATTCTTGTGATGGACTCTAAGAAGAAGATCAACCTAAGAAACCAACACAAAAATACAAATATATGGTTCATATTCAGCAAGAAGTGGTAAAAGACACTTGCATAAATAAAGGTTGTGATTTACTTTACGAGTACCTCTGCCTTGAATTGCTTGTGCCCATGAATTGAAGCCTGAGAGACTACTTTAACAGCAACTGGTTCTGTACCATTTACATATCCATGATAAACCATACCAAACCCTCCTTTCCCAATAAGCCGTTCAAAGTTGTTTGTCATTTCAGTAACCTCTGCGTAAGTAAACCTCTTCTTTTTCGTTATTCTTGGCGGCTCGGATGATGTTGGGACTCTACCTTCTTCTGCAACACAAATGATCAATATGATTTTGTAGTTTGATACGTATACTAATACTATATAAATGAAGATTAATACATTTTTCATGAATACCATTAGTCTTTGATGATTTTTTCCGTTTGAGAACAAAAAACAGAATCAATGCAGTTGCAATAACAACCAATGAAGCAACTGATGCGACAACCGGTACAGTTATACTCTTTTTGGGATGACCACCTTCTCCAGGTTTATTTACACATGACCCTTCTGTGCAAATTAGCCTAGGGTTGCCTTCAACACTTTGGATTACAAATGATATTCAGTATGTGAAAAGAGATTAATTAAAGTGTATAGTTATCAACAATATCAGAAAAGTCTTACTTCAACTTCAGTCCTTTCTTCTGTAGAAGCTTTTCAGGAAGTTGGCCACTAAGATTGTTTCCACTTAAGTTTCTGTTAAAGTAGAAAAATGATTTATATATAACACAAATAAGGAATTTAAAGACCTTTTTTTAATGATTCATTTGGACAGTACTCTTATAAAGTCTTACATGATCAAGAGCGATTTCATGTCAGCTAGAAACTCAGGCACAACACCGGTCAAGTCATTATTTGTCAAGTCCCTAAGCATTTGATGAAAACATAAAATCCATCACCAATAAACAAAACAAAACAAAGAAAATCTCTGCTTTTTTATTTTTGTATTCATGTATGTGTGATACTTACAATTCTTGTAGATTGGTTAGATTCTGAATGGCAGGCACGATGCCATTGGTCAATCCACTTGAAGACAAATTTCTATTGATACAGTTATGAATATGTTTCACATGTAATATATTTAGAATAGAGAAATGACTGAACCATATGATACAATGGTTGGAAAATCTTACAAGGAAGTGATTGTTGGTGGGGTGGAACTATCAGTGTTGTTGCAGTTTAGACCAGCCCACAAGAACTGTTTGGGGACACATGGATCTCCTTGCCAACTAATTCTACTCAATCCATAAGCAATTTGGATCTTCTTGATAGCAACAACTGGCATTTCATAGTTAATGAAATCAAGAATTAAATATACATGTAAAGCTCCAATTCATATGTCTTCAAAGATGTAAATTTACGCACCTTCATCTTGGTTTGTTTCTGATTGAGGAAATTCAACAACAGTAAAAATTTCAATAGCATTGATGAGAGGAGGAAGAGTTGACTTTGTTGTTTTCACCAACTGCAAGAGGCAATTCCCTCCTTTGCATCTCAATGTCGATTCGGGTTTGGTGAGCAGAGAATCTATTCTTAAGAATTTAGGACTATAAGGTCCAAAAAAAACTTCTCCATTCAGCAAAACATTGAATTCCCTGGTCTCGTTGGCTAACAAAGTTTGAATCTCTGCAAAGTGGAGATAAATGTGAAACTGTGTTGTAGAATCCTCCATGCTCCAAGGAATATTCCATGTCCCATTATCATTTACATAGGTTGCAGCCGATGCCATTGCACCTTGCGGCGGATCATAACCATTAGAAGTGTTTACATTGAGAGTTGTACTTACTAGAGTCCACTCCTTATCTACCAACGGGAACCACCTACGGTCATAGACATCATCAGGGTACCTGCCAAAATCTTGTATTAGAGATAAACAAAAAAAGAAAAAACCATGAGTAAGTATCAAAGATATAACCATTGTTTCCATTTTTCTTCATCCAAGATAGGCAATGGCGTCAAATCAAAATTGTACCACGATCCAAGATAAAGATTCCTTGTCACAAATCAAAGTTTACTTACCGTAAAATGCGGCCTGAACCGTTAAGATAACTTCTGGATAAGAACTGCAAGGAGCTTTCAATGCCACTAATGTAAATATCACTTCTCAGTGGCCGTAGCTCCAAGGTCGATATCATCGGCGTAGTTGTTCCAGTCTTAACAAGACAGATATGCAAAGAGCTTAACCTGGACTTGTGAATAATCTCCACGTACTTACCACCTCCGGTAGCATTCAAATTTACGGTTGTCCACTTATTAGGGCCAAGAAACAGATCAAAGTTTGGGATAATATTAAGACCATCGTAATTTCCATAAAAGAAGGAAGCTCTAATCAGAAAATTTGTTCCCTGCGTGACCTTGATGTTGTAACAATTCCGTTCTCCATCTGGAAAGTATCTCAGCGTTACAAACGCCTTTTCGAAGTTTCGCTCAGAATCCTTGTGGACTCGACCGTTCTTTCCACTCTCGATGAAACTAGCATCCGAGGTGAACGTTAATCTGGTTGATGGATCCACGTATGGAGACCCATCAGGTAACAATCCGCAATCCAAAGTGATGAATCCTAGTAAAAACAGAGGAAACAGAGGACGGAAAAGAAGAAGAGTCTCTAGAAATTAATGTAATCGATTAGAGAATTTGAAAACATAATACAAGGTTTGCAAAAAGACTTACCTTCTTGATCCTGTGCTTGAACAAAATTTATAAGAGCAAATGTGATAACAAACACAAACAAAACTCCATGAAGATGCCTCTCCATTTTCTCCTAGTCTTTGAGGAATTTGATATCAACATCATTCCAAGTCCCTGAAATATTAATCTGTGTAATCTAATCAGCTGGACATTAAAGAAATCTGTTTGATTATACTAATAAGCACATAAAGTGTCAACTACTAATCAAAAATAATAAAGAATATGCTTTGAAAACCTGGAAAGTTGATAACTTCTTGCAACATCGACCGTTATTTATAAAATTAGAAAGAAATAAAGTTATAAATATACAATGTATCGTAAATTACCAAATGTGTATTGGATTTCACAACGATAAATCCAGACTTTCAAATGCCATTACTTCACCAGAATCTAATATCTCTGTTTCTGTTTGAAACTAAATAGTGAATGTGGTAAGATGTATGAAGTGAATTTGGTCTCTGTTTGTAAAAATAAATTCACTGGATTGATTACAAGTAGATTGATCTAAGATAATTTCTTAGCATGCATGAAGATGATGATAAGAAGGGGAGGGTTTTTCTCAATTTTTTTTTCTAGATGACAAAACCCTAATTTTGACTGAAGAAGAAACACAATATTTAATTACCTTGTCAGGTAACGACGTCGTTTAAAAGTTTTGCCAAATCGCCACCCGAGTTGGTCTTATCTTACAATTTTAAATAGATTAAGAGCCTATCTCGCCAAGCATACAAAGTTCGGGAGTTATTTATGAAAGTTTATATACATGAAAAAGAAGAAAAAGAACGGAGCAGTCTTTGAATCTCTGATCTTACAAGTCTGAGGATAAAAAATTATATGTCGTGTTCAAGTCTTCAAGACATTAGGTCATGTCAACTCCATCTCTTTGAAGCGGAAGATTCGGGCAATATCTACTTCATGACTTAAATTCTAATCTTTACATCTTCTGTAATCTCTTTAAAACTTTATGGCCATGGCATGCTTTGTAAGCGGTTTAAACTTCAATAAATCAATATGATAAAAAAAAAACTCCATCTCTTCATTATAGTTGACTCTTGTGATTTTTTCAACTGTGTTATAAGATTAAAGAACATGTAAGGATAAGGTAAAATTATAATATACTATTATTAGTGCCATTATTTAGTTTTAAAGTATCTGAAGAACTTTTAAAATAATCGTTTTGACTTGTTCTTCAAATATTTGTTTGGACAAAATATAAGTATGTTTGTTAAAAAGGAAAAGAGAGTATCTGAAGAACACAATAACAATTATTTTTCAGACGTGCATCTAAGTTGTAGAAAAAAAAAAACACTCCGATTATTCTCGGTTTTTCTTTCGTTTTTAACCGTAGAATTTGTCTGAATTGGAATGACTTGTTTAGCAAAAATCTCAAAATAAAAATAAAATAAAGCTGTATATATTGAGACAGTGTGTATGTTTCCTGATTTCCTCTGTTATATTCAATCATTATGTTTTCTGTCGGAAACAGAGTCTTTGATTCCTCTTTTATTCATTCACTTTGTCTGAAAAGAGACTCTGGCTGTTCTTGATTCATCTTTAGTTTTCCTTCGGTTCTTCGTAAATAGTTGTTACTGTCATTTCCACCTAAAAATGGTACCATTTTCCATATCTTAATAGATACATAAATAAGAAACTAAGTTGATTTGTCGACCAACAATGTACATCTAAATCTTCGGGAGACTTTGACCTGAATACAATCTGCAAAGATGTCAAGAGCTATGGATTTGAAAGAATGTCTGAACATGGAAATGTGGATTTATCAGATGAATGTAGTTCAAGAGTTTGAAATATGGTATATTTTATTTTGACCTTGAATAAAATGTATAAGAGCAAATGTGATAAAATCTACATAAAAACTGCATAAATAGGCCTCCCCATTTTCTCCTATTCGTGGGGAGGTTCGTTACACTATAATGAATAAAAAGGATTATAATCTATTCTTACTTGAGAAGGCACATCTAAGAACTTAGAGTTCAGAATTAAACTCTTTCAATGATCACAGAAGTGTCTTCTCCCTTAGCCAAAATTATGGTTCGTCCATTCTTCCTATTTACTTATAAAATGATTGTAGATGATATTATGATGATATGGAATAATTTTTTTTTTTTTTTTTTTTTTTTGCAGTTTTTTGCCTCAAATGACAAAACTCTAGCTAATTTTATACAGAGGAAGAAACACAGTGTTTTTGTTAATTACTGGTACAACGTCATTTTCAAGTTATGACGTCCGAGTTAGTGAAGTTTATAGTTTAAGCGCTTATTTCGCTAAACGTACAGAAATTAGGGTTTTGCATGGGATTTTCTCCCAAAAAGTATAGAACAGAACAATCTCTGAAAATGTCTCTTTAGTCTTTACAAATTGGGGATAGAAAATTATTCTGTCGTGTTGAGACCATCAAGTAAGTTAATTCCATCTTCTTCATATGTAGTTGACTATGTATTTTTTATAGAATGATTTAATTAATGCACGGCGCAACTAGGTTATACAGCTATTGGTTTTGAGACGTGCTTCCAAGTAGCATGCAATGGGTTTTGCATTAAGTATCGCAAAAATCTGGACGAAATATATTTGGGTTTCATGATTTATGTTTTTTTCAGATAAAATCCGAAATTTAATTAATCAGAGAAATTAGCTGGTTTTGGTTCAAGAATTTTAACAAGATGAAAATTTCAAAACTCGTATAAGCCTTAGTGCCTTACTATTTTTTTAGTTGGTTCGAAAGCCTTACTATTAAGCTTTTAAACTCAAGTCAGTGTATATATGCTGAATACTTGGGTCATAAGCAAATATACTGTAGTTATTCATGATCGGTTGGAATACATTAAAACATGGATAATAGGGGTTAGAATACATTAAAACATGGATAATAGGAGATGGTCATTTTCTACAAACAAAGATGATGAATTTATTGGAGATGCACAGAATGCACGATAGTTCCATAAGAATAATATCTGAACTAAGATCCAAGATTCTACGGGGAGATTCTTCATGATCAACCTCTACCGTGCAGTAGGGTTCACTTCAGTTCCAAAAGTCATGATCACTTCTCTGGACGGGCTCTCTCCTCCCCTCGAGCTTTCAGAGGCCAAACACTCTTTTAGTTCAACAACAACTTGAGACATTGTCGGTCTTGTCACTGAAGCAGGATTTAGACATGACATTGCTAATTCAACAGCTTTCCACACAGTAGAAGTATCATAATCTCCATGAAGATTTGGGTCTGTAATACTTTTGATGTCTCCTTTCGTAAGCATTGCTCCCACCCACTCTGCTATGTGTGACTTTTGGCGATTTTGTTCAATCACGGGTTGGTTTGTGATAAGAACCAATAACACAATTCCAAAACTATAAACATCACTTTTCTCCGTCAACCAGTTTGTTCTGTAATATCTGTAACATAGTTCAAAGTTTAAGACTATCACTTTATATATCTGAAGAAAAAAAAACACAATATGCAAAATATATTTTCATATTTAAGCAGTAATACTTACTCAGGATCGAGGTATCCAATAGTTCCAGCAACAACTGTTGATACATGAGTTTCCCCTTCGATAGGAAATGATCTTGAAAGCCCAAAATCAGCAAGTTTGGTATCAAAATCCTCATTCAACAGTATATTTGTGGTTTTGACATCCCTATGAACCATTACTGGTTCACAATAATTATGCAAATACTCCAGTCCTATGAAGAAAAAAAGGAATCGTTTTCACAGAGTTTCAATCAGTCAGGAAATAAACAAAGAAAGAATATAACTCAAGACAAACCTTGTGCAGACTCGACAGCTATCTTTAGTCTAGTTCCCCAATTCAATATAGCGCCACCGCGTTTACCTATGTATTGAGGAAAGAAAATTGATAAGTGCCAAATTCTTACATTCAAAATATATTTATTAAGGTTGGTTTACTAAAAAAAGTTAAAGAATGCCAAAGCGACAGTGTCCATGTGCACATACCAAATATGTTGTCTTTGTAGTGGCAAAATATTATGTTTACCTGACATATGCCCATCTAAGTCTCCATTGGCCATGTATTCGTAGATGAGAGCCAATTTATCTCCTTCTTCACAATATCCAACAAGGCCGACCAAATTCTTGTGATGTACTCTAAGAAGAAGTTCCACCTAACGTACCACATGATACACCAAATTAATTAGCATTGGAAAATTCTTGAATGTTTCAGTCAAAATTCCACTGAGGGTTGTGGTATAAGTACCTCAGCTTTAAATTGTTTATATCCTTGAGATGATGAATGGGAAAGCATTTTAACAGCAACCTGCGTTTTACTGTTTACCGAACCATAATATACAGTTCCAAACCCTCCTTTTCCAAGGATTTTTTGGAAATTGTTTGTCATCGTTATGACCTCTGAATAAGTAAATTTTTTATTCTTTGTCATTATTGTCGGTTCAGATGATCTACCATCAGTGGGTAGCATACACGATGATGGCGCTAAAATTGTGAGGAAAACGTTCAATCAAACATTGTAAGTTTAATGTGTATTTATGATATAATGAGTACATGATCGATCAATAGAATGTGCATACCTTCATCGTTTAATGGGGCTTTCTTTCGAATAACATAAAATATAACCAATGCAACTATGAGGGCAACCACAGCAGCAACTGATGCTACAATTGGGATTGTGATGCTATTTTTCTGCTTTCCACCCTCTCCATCTTTGTTTACGCATAACCCCACCGTGCAATGAAGTTTTGGATTGCCTTCAATGCTTTGGATTGCAAGTGTTGTTCAAGAAAATTTAGTTGATCATAGAAAAAATGTTAATTATCAAACAAATACAATAAACGAAATTTTACTTCAGTTTCAACATTTTCTTCTCTAGAAGCTTTTGAGGAACTATGCCACTAAGATTGTTCCCACGTAAGTTTCTGTTAAGATAGACGCAGAGATCAAGCATTAGGATCCCTTGTCTATATATATAGAGAGGGCTAAAAGACATGATTCTCATGGGCAACTTACATGACTAAGAGCGATTTCATATCGGCTAGAAATTCAGGGACACCCCCGGTCAAGTTGTTATTTGACAAGTCCCTATATTTGGAGACAAATTATGATTTATCTTAGTATTTTTTTCCTACAACAACGCTTCAATTTACTAAGTTGTGTAATACTTACAGTTCTTGCAGTTTGGTGAGATTTTGAATGGTCAGCGCGATGATCCCAGTCAATCCACTTGAAGACAAGTTTCTAGTGATGAAAATTTCATGAATATGTTAAGTGCACAACATTATCAGAATAGGAAAAACGGTTAAACCATGTCCCCTTACAAGGAAGTGATAGTCGGTGGCATCAAAACATCTGAGTTGTTGCAGTTTAAACCATCCCACAAGAACTTTTTGGGGACACATGGATCTCCTTGCCAATTGATTCTACTCAATCCATAAGTGGATTGAATATTCTTGATAGCAACCACTAGTAGTTATTTATAAAGTTTGAAAGATATCAAGAACTAAACAAATTAACATAAGCAACTTGTTAATATAAAAGAACCCAACATACCTTCATCTTCATGTGTTTCCAGCTGTGAGAAATCAATTACAGTGAAAATCTCAATAGCGTTAATTAAAGGCGGTAAAGTTGACCTTGACGTTTTCACTAGCTGCAACAAGCATTTCCCTCCATCGCATTGCTTTGGTGCTCTGCTGAATGCTGTTTGCATTTTTAAAAACTTAGGACTATAAGATGCATGTGTAACGTTTCCATTCATCGTCACATCGAATTCTCTCGTCTCGTTCGCTTGTAGAGTTTGAAGCTCTGCAAAATGCAAGTATACGTAAAACAGTGAAGTTGGAGGCTTTAAAGTCCAAGGTATTTCCAACGTCGTTGTGCTAGCGTTTACGGGTGTAACAGCTTTTGCCATTACACGTTGCGGTAGATCGTAGCCATTAGAAGTGTTTACTTGGAGATTTGTAGTCAAAAGCGCCCACTCCTTATTAGGTGACAACGGACGCCATATACGATCATAGACATCATCGGGGTACCTGTCGCCATCTTACATTAGAAACATTACTAGACACAAGTCTGTTTTTTTTTTTTTTTTTTCTAGTTAAGAGAAAAAAAAATGTGTTATAATCAAGAATCGATTCTTACTCTACATTGCGACTAGAATCGCTAAAATAAGCCCGAAAATAGTAATTGAGCGAGCTGCTTTCAGTGGGGTATATATCATCCACCAATGGTCGTAGTTCCAATGTATTTATAAAAGGTATACTTGTTCCTGTCTTAACAAGACATACCTGCAAAGAGTTAGATCTTGACACGTGGAGGATTTCCTCGTGAGTATCATTAGTGTTCACTGTTATCCACATATTTGGACCGATGTAAAGATCGAATTCCGGGACAACATTAAGAACATCATAGTTTCCATATACGAATGAAGCCTTGATTATGTACTTTGTGCCCCGTGTGACATTCACATTGTAGCAATTTCGTACTCCGTCTGGAAAATATCTAAGCGTCAACTCCGGTTTATTGTATACCGATTCTAATTCCTTTCCGATGCGGCCGATTTTCCCACTCTGGACTGAACCGTCATCTGATGTATATGTTAACCCGGTCGAGGATTCTTTATAAGGAGAGCCTTCAATGGACAAGCCACAATCCAAATTGATGAATCCTATATAGTAAAGACATGTATGAGACCAAAATTATATAATAAACTCAAAATATAACAACGATCGGTGATGATGAACACACACATATATATTACAGAATAAAAACAATAAATGGGTTAGTACTAATAATTAAGTACCTATCGGATCCTGAGCTTGAACAAGATATAGTGTAAGGAAAAATATCACAAAGAACATGCATTGTTTCTCCATTTTTCTACTCGACTTTCGGAAAGGAGATGTCAATATCTAACAAACAGAAGCGAGCTTTGAAATTATGATATAAGTCCATGGATATTTATTTGTGTCATTTCTCAAATGAGAATTTAAATAACACATGAACTCAATAAGTAAATTGACAAAAAAAAATAAGAAGACTAATGGGGTTATTGAAAAAAAAAATAAGTTTCTTGTTGCAACCTGATGCCGGCACAGACAAGGTGGGAGAAAATTTAATCTTAAAATGTGACACAAGGAGAAGTGGTGCTCAAAGATTCTCCCATGTCTTTAATAGAATACCTTTGACTCGTTGATTAACAATTCTAACTACCTTTGACGTCTAAAACTAAAACTACCTTTGTTCTGTGAGCTCACGTATATTTTTACGTCTACACGTCGAAATTGCTTTCAGAAATGAAGTTAACCAGTAATTACCGTGGGCATCTATACCAAACCAAATCGAACCAGTAAGAGGGAGTTATTGGATATTATACTTTAATGGAATTAGATGCATTAAAAGTCAGCGTGAAATATAGTGTTATTCAATTGTGTATTTGTTAAAAAAATACATGAAAATTCTGGTTTCTCATACAAAGATTTTGCATGATCATACCAGAACAAATTAATTCAAAGTAAACTGAAGTACTGTTACTTTGATAGGTTTCGCACAGCCAATTTAACATTTGATTGTTTCAAACTCAATTTCATATATTTTTTTTAATTACAAATATGAGAAAGAAAAAGGTAAAAAAAAAATTCTCGTTTTTGAAACATCTATTATATAAAGACTGGGTTGAGTCTCACAAGTTTGACACATCAACATCCACTTTTTTGACACATCAGATTAAAAAAATTATGAGAAAATTAAATAATTAAATTATATTAATTTCATTTTAAATTGAACACAAAACCCGAAAGAGAAGTGCATATTAATTTATGGTTCATAATGAACTGCAAATTAATATCCATTTTGGAAGTTGGAAAGATGGAATCTCAAACAATATCTAATGCTTTCTAATATCGACTCAAAATTCCACAAGTCAATAGGTAAGATTTTTTATTCTTTGTCTCCTCTTTGATTTATGGGTTTTTGAAAGCTGCATTATATCCCTTGTATTGAATTCATTCTGATTTTGTTTACGTAGATATTGATGCATTTTCTTTGTATAAAGGCATATCCATTGATGACAATGCTACCACCGAGATAAAGGGTTGAGACTTGAAGTCTCGGGCAGAAATCAACAAAAACAAGGAAGAACACAACACTGTTTAAGCACAAAGAAGAAGTACGACAACATGAAAAATACACTTGGTGAGACGAGGCAGAAAGTAAAGGATAAGATAGTTTTGAAGGGAGGATTCGAAGTAGAGAGTAAGCTCTTATAATTGTTCCCGTTGGAAATTTGCCACTGATTATTAAGAAGAAACTCATTTTAAAGAAATTTAGCTAATCTCAAACGATTAAGTTCAAGTTATGTTCATTGATTTTTTTATCATTAAAAATTACTAACAAACAAAAAAACAGGTTGAGAAAAATAATAATAAAGAAATATTTGGTTGGGTGCAAAAATAACAAGTGTTACATCTACAAAAAAATAATGACTATATTTTTAGGAGATTATATGATATTCATATTATCAAATACAAAAAATAAGAATAAACTTATAGAAAAATGTCAATTAATAAATTATATTAAAATAAAAAATCACTTTTAATGACTATATTTTTACAAATTTGGATGATATTTATATTATTAAAAATTAAAAATAGATTAATTTTGTAGAAAATGTAATTTTATAATGTATATTAAAACAAATAAAACACTGCGTGTATACGCGGGTATTCATCTAGTTTTTTTTAATAAAACTTTTCCTTCCGTTTGGATTTGTACTTAGCCGCTTACTAGTTAACAAATGAATTTTGCAAAGGAAGCTAGAACTAATGAACTCCATTATTAGGGTTTTGTAGTTGGTGAGAAGCTATGGATGGAGAGGGTCTTAGTTGACGTCAAAGAAACCAAAACAAATGTACATACAATCGACAATTTACATACAATTTTTTTGTATGATCAAACCGAAATGGGGTTAGTCCAAGTAGAGTCGTGTCTGAGATTTCTCAGACTACAAGCAAGGGAAAAAAATTGGCCCCTTAATCCTTCATTCTTATCTTTACTTAAAACTTGGATAAATTTTAGTGAAAATTCCTCAGACTAACCTTTAAGGTTAATGAAATGACAAACCTAACCTAACATATTGAAGGGCTTACTAGACTAACCTTATAAAGTTGGTTTAAGTCCATTTTATCCAGATGTTGAATATTATTACGAAAATGCGATTATGATTTTTTTTTTTATAAAATTTTTTTTTTCGAAAAAAATTTAATTTCGAAAAAAACTTTTTAAAAAATCGAAATTTTTTTTGACGAAAAAAAACATTTTTTTAAAACGAAAAAAGCAAAAAAAAAAAAACACAAAACCAAAACTAAAAAAAAAAACCCTAATTCATCTTCTTCTCTCCCTCTTTCTCCTGCGCCGTTTTTTTTTCTCCCATGGAGCTGCTCTTCTTCATAACTTGGCAGCCTCCCTTTTTCCACAGCTTTCTCTTCACAGCTTTCCTTTTGTTTCACAGATCCACATAGATCTTGCCTCAATCGCCGTTCAGAAACTTGTTCAGGTTTGTTTTTTTTCTCATTTTCTTATTTTTTCTTCTTTCTTCTTCGTCTTCCTCTTTCCCTTCGTCTTCTACTTTCTGTTTGGCGGAGGAGGAGTTTTACTGTTGGTGTTAGAGATCTCGGAAATATTGGCACGACTCTTAAGCGGCGTTCTCGCCGCATCGCGCACAACCGCACTGGACAGATGTTGTTTCGAAGAAATGGTGGTGTCCCGGAGGTTGACGGCGGCGTAAGTTTTTTTCTGTAAAACCCGCAACCCTAATTTTTTTGTTTCAGGTAAGTTTGGTAGATATATTTGGAAAACGATAAGTAGTTTGGTAGATTTATTGTATTTTTTTGTTGTAAAGTTCATAATATGTGATGGTAGATTTTTTTGAAAAACGATATGTAGTTTGGTAGATTATTAGTTATTTGTTGGTAGATATTTAGAAAACGAAATATGGTTTGGTAGATTTATTAGTTATTTGATGGTAAAATTATTTTAGAGTAAAAACGATGTCATTTGGTAGATTTATTAGTCATCTAATGATAGACTTATTTGTAAAACGATGTGGTTTGGTAGATTTACTAGTCATTTAATGGTAACTTATTTGAAAAATGATTTGTGTTTGGTAGATTTATTAGTTATTTATGGTAGATTTATCAGTCGTATATATTTGAATTTTATATACGAATGACAGTGTTTATTTTTTTTTGACAGATTATGGGCTTTGCCATGTGAACAAATCTTTGATGGATATCCAGCATCGATCCGA